CCACTTCCGCTATCGTCAAAACATTTCCCATAATCCCAAGAACACTCAAAATACACAGTAAAACCAAATTCAAGTAGTTTAATAATGTTTCTGAATGCACGTAGTTAGGGTCGAATTCGGAAAATTCGTCGTTTTGTGAACTATTATTTAGAAAGAAAGAAATCAACCGTTGTTCCATTTTTGAGAGGTTTAGGACAATTTTCAGCCCGAAAGTGAAACTGCTACCGAGTATTGGCGATTTTCTAAGTTATTACCATAATATATGCTGTATAGAAGAGTAGTAGAAGATATATAGAATAAACCAATTGTATTAAATACAGAGTAATTTTACACGAACTATAAAGCCATAGACATGTTTCCTTGTATGTTGTATACCTGCCTTACAGAGTTGTAGCGACACAATCGTCGAATCTTTTCAAGAAACAAAATCACCTATTCGTACTATATCGATAAAAAATGTGTTACGGGTTGGCCTAAAAGTCTCGAATTTGAATCTTGGTGGAAATCAATTGGAATGCTCCTGGATCTACCCAGCTCTGACGGGTACATAACTCGCTATAGGAAAACCAAACGCGGCTGGGCATAGTGTAGACCATACTATCCCTTCAAATTACTAAGTCACCGAAATAGGTAACCTACCACATGGACCCTCAGGTTCGAAAAGATAATTTTTTATATCGAAAAATACATATATTTTTTTAACGTAATATAAATTTTGTTTAAGAATTTTCGTGAAAATAAGTTACATTTTTGGAAAAAATTGTTAGGTATTCTTGCTTTCAACGAGAATACGTAATGTACACATTTCGATACATAGTCTATATGTTTAGTGTATACAATAAAACCTATTATATAAAGGAAACAAGTGTTCACATATTTTCTGTCGCATTTCCTTATGTTGGATTTTTATTTCTCAATATCTAAATATTTTGTATGTTTATGTTATCGCTCAAAAACAATATTTAATTATTTTTTTGGGATTTCCCACCAATAAGATTTAAATATTCTTTTTTATTTTTCTGCATTTTTTAAATTCTATTTTTATAGCATCTTTTTCTGTTGTATCGTAATTTAAAATTCACTTCGGTTATGTACGTTTTAAGATGTTGACGTCGGTCGTTACACTGTGTTAGTTACGTCGTAACTATAAACGTTCCTTTACACAGAGAATCTATAAATTTTTATTGTCCGTTTATAACCGCTTGACGGAATTGATTTCAGCTGTAGTTGTATGGTGATAAAATAGCAATTACTGTGTGCGGCGTAACGGTCGAATAACCATTACACATCAATAGACTGCCCAGGTAATTGTCAGGATCAACACAGTTAATATTTAACGCAACAGTTAAGTTAAAGTTTTTATTTTTATTCGTCTTCGTCATCGGTCACGTCAAGATGACTAATCTTTTTGGTGTGAGTCACCCATGGGCCAGTTGTGTTTTTGTGTTTAATGATAAGAATGATAGCTCCCAGTCTTAGAGTCTATTTTTACACTAAAATTTTAAAATAAAGCAATAGCATGTAGGAAGAATAAAAAATCACATAAAACTGTTCTATAACTAGCTTGTATCTAATTACTATCAGAGCTGCCCACGGTTGGCTGAAACACGTCCCTTGGATTTGCGTCGCATTGTTGTGGATATGCGCATAGGGGCTTTTTATATATTAAGATGAAAGAAAGGTATTTTTTAATAAAGTATATGGTTTGTGTAACCAATGATGATAAGCAAGACTTAAAGCAATCCTCTCATTACAGATTTTGAATATAGGTTGTGGTTTGTTCGTCGAAACGATGGGACAAGAAGAAATGTGCACATTACCCACGAAATTTGCATTATCGTGTGGTATGAATACACCACTGTATTCCTGACACACCCAACTAACGAGGCTATGAGCTGTGTATAAAATACTCCAGGTTTTATAAGGTACGTTTAAGAAGAAAAGCGAAAATTCTAAGTACTGGTAAGGGGAGCTTAGACTTAACAAGACCAAAAACTTGTGTTGATCAAGTTAGGATTAACCTGAAGGTCTTTAAAACAATAGTAAAAGGAATATGAACCTCTTTAGGATTAAGCTGAAGGTCTTTAACACAATAGTAAAAGGAATGCACAAGTTTCATATCCTCTTTTTTTACAATTCATTTAAGGGAGTGGGGGGGGGGGGGGGGTAATTTTTGGCGGCGATATTCTTGACAAGATCATAATAAATTAATTCGGTGTTTCGTTGATTAATACATAAATATATATATATATATATATATATATATATATATATATATATATATATATATATATATATATATATATATATATATATATATATATATATATATATATATATATATATTGCTTTCTAATGGTAGTAGTATGCGAATGTTATATTTAATGTGTGAATGTTACTTCTAAACCAACCTACCCCCAACCCCTCACCTTCTGCAAGCGTCTACAAAACTCTATTTCAATATGACCCCCCCCCCCCCCTCCCACACACACACACTCTTATGAACATTATAAGTGGATGTCCCGAGGAATTGGGCGGGAGTTTGTGTCAAAGAACAGGGATTTATTTGGGGTTAAATGGTTATAAATTGTGGGGTTGGCATAATGTGATATCGCTATGTGTTGTGCAGTGCAGCAGATGGACCGTTTCCGAACTGGAAACTGGGTCGTCTAGTAAGTATCTAAAAGTTTAAAAAGTTCTTTAAACATGTTTCAATTTTCATGCCATAAACATCATTATTGAGAAGAATATAAAACTATCCCCCCGCCCTAGCATAGACAAGAGGTACACAGGTTTTTAAAACACAGCTCGCGTGTGTGTACTAGTTAGATGCAACTACCATTGAAGTGTTAAGAGTCAACGGATGTGGAGTTAAGTACACGGCGTTTTAACACTGGTTACAACTCCACAGTAGACTGCACTCAGCCTCGTCACTCAAACTGTGGCTTTGATATTTTACACTTTAAAAAAAGTTCACTTTGCAAAATATATGATGGGATATGAAAAGACTAGGCATACCTTTTATATTGTACTGATATGCACTGGATATTAACTATCATACTGCTACTAAAGTTTAATGTTGCATACTTTCCTATCCAGATAAAACAATAACAGAACAATACATTAAAAACACATATAAAGCGCATATAAACAGTTAAAAAAAAGCTTCCTCCTCAGCCGGCCAGTCTAGCTGTGGGAATCCCGGTGGTCTAACAGGAAAAAGTCCCGGTGGGCCCTTATCTACTTATGTACTTATGTACTTACGTACGTATGTACTTATGTACTTATATACTTATGTACTTATGCCCCTAACGTTAGGGGCACCTTCCAAGATTTCCATGACTTCTGTCACAGACAGTCCACCCAGTGGCGTAGCGAGAGGGGGGGGGGGGGGGCGTGGTGTGCAGACCGCACCGGGTGACACCATTTAGGGGGGGGGGGGGGACACCAAGGCAAAAAATAGCAAAATATATAGAGAAAAATGATAATTCCACTTAAGTGATTAATTCGAGTGTTAAATAGTCTTTTAAGAGGTGTAAATCGAAAGTTAGAGGGGGGTGCAAATCGCAAGTTTGAGAAAGGGGGGGGGGGGGTGCAAATAGAAAGTTGAAAGTTTGTCCCCGTGAAGGGTCGCTACGTCTCTGGGGGGGGGGGGGGGGGGTGACACAATTAAGTGCCGCACCGGGTGATACCCGACCTCGCTACGTCACTGAGTCCACCCATGTGGTGCATGCAACCAATTTTAAAAGCTATCTTTACTCTTGCATTAGCAACTATGTTAGAAAGTGACTTAAAGCTATTCTCATTCTTGTTTTTGCCAGTATGCTAGAAGTTGACTTAAAGCTATCCCCACTTTATGCATGTTAGAAGGTGACTTAAAGCTATTCCCAGTCCATGTATGTTAGAATGTGACTTAAAGCTATCCTCACTCTTGTTTTAACCAGTATGTTAGAAGATGACTAAAAGCTATTTCTACTCCATCTATGTTAGAAGGTGACTTAAATCTCTCCCCACTCCATGTATTTGTCTGAATGTTAAGGGATGACAGCTAGTGTCAAGAACCCTACACTTAAGGAAAAAGGATATGACACGTTTACTGTGTTAAGTGTACAGACGGCCTAACGTTCAGGCGATCTCATTGATGTGTAGGATGTCATATAGCTCACCATAGGATGATATGTGTTTTTATTTCTGGTGTGTTGGGCTTTGTAGCTTCAGTCTGAATGTTGATATTGCAGTCTTTAAATAACTATTAATAGTGGTTGTTATTCGAATGTTGATATTGCGGTCTTTAAATAACTATTAATAGTGGTTGTTATTCGAATGTTGATAATGCATTCATTTCATAATTAATAGAAGTGTTAGTCATCCGAATGTTTTATTTGGTTTAGTTATTGAACTGTTGATAGTGGATTTGTTCTTTAAATGTTGAAAGTGGATTTATCCAACATTTGATATTGGAGTAGTTCTCTAAATGTTGAAAGTGGATTTATCCATTTGATAGTGAAGTAGTTCTGTAAATGTTGATAGTGGACGTACCTCTTTCTAATGGATTTATACAACTGTTGATAGTGTATAGACCTAACTTTTAAAAATGAAGTGCTTATCTTACTGTTGATAATGAAGTACTTATCTAACTATTTCTAGTGATTTTATGTTGATAGACCTAACTGTTGATAACGAAATAATTACTGTAATGTTGATAATGAATTATTTATCTAACTGTTGATATTGAAGTACTTACCTTACTGCTGATTCTGAAGTACTTAGCTAACTGTTGATAGTAAATTTACCTAGCATTTGATAGTGAAGCTGCACATTAATTGTTGATTGTGGATAAACTACCAGGCTGATGATATTTCTCAATGAAATAGCATAATGTAAAACAACAACATAGCTTTTATTTAATACATTAGAGATAATTTCAAAAAAATAATTAAAAAATACCACATCAGCTGATCCTATGCATATCTCATTCTTGCGAACAGAGGAGAGTTAAAACGTTTTCATGCAATTTTTTCACGTAATGGATAATATAATATACGTTTGCTTTCTTCTGTCATCTGTGTTTTGCATATCAGGTAATGAAGCGTCTATACTTTAAGATAGAATCATAAACTGATAGATAGGCAGACATGCAGACGTACAGACATACACATACAGAGACACACATAGGGAAATAGAAACAGACACACAGACACACTGACAGAAATACACTCAGAGACACACAGACGGACAGACATACACACACCGAGACACGCAGACCTACAGAAATACACACACACAGACACGCAGACGGACAGAAATACAAACACATAGACATGCAGATTGACATAACTACACACACACTCAGACGCAAAAAGAGACAAACCGGTAAAATGGAATTTGTATTGCCATTTTTGACTTCCCAGAATCATCCTTTTGTTCTCCTGATATGGAATATCACGACCACACCCGGACGTGTCTAAAACTGTTTGAGAGAAAGGAAAACTATGTGCAGGCCAAATCTTTCTGTCAAAGAAACGTTTCGGGGGGAAAGGATAACTCCAAGAAAGGATATCTTGTGAGAATCTACGATAGTGTGACAGACAACTTTGTTAAGGGTAGGTAACTCCAATAATCATCAATTAAACTGGCAAAAACCATATTTCTTCTACATATTTTGCAACTTTCGCCATGGTGTCACACCCCATAAATGGTGTCACCCGGTGTCACACGATGTAGCTTCACGTACTTCAATTAATTTATTCAAGAATAATACGATGTTTTCTTCTTCTAATAAACGTCTGAAAGATCTTCAGTATAAAGCAAGTCGATATTACTAGTGAAAATACCCCGTGAAACCTTTACAAATAGTTTTAAACTACTTAAATATAATTTTAAAAAATACTTATAATATTTTATTGAACGAGACCGATCTAAACGATAAAAAGCTAGCCGAAAATCGTGTTCGTTAAGGATGCAATGTCTTAGAACTGTGCTACTCATCCAGTTTAAAAGGATCATTAGATACAATTTTGATAATGTTACTACTCTCTTACGATGTAATTTCACTTAACATTGAGGTCGTACGATTTAAAATATGAGAGAATTCGAATATCGACAAAATACTGTATGTCGGTCTTCGTGGTGAATAAATTACATTTGTGTTTCGTTGTTCCTTGTGAGACTCAAAGTCAGCTCTCTTTTCTATATTCCCTGAGAATCTTTCCTAGCCCATCTACATAACCAGGTAAGTCATTGATACATGATCGGTTTAACAAGTAGACCTAATTTAACGACATTTTTTTCTCAATTTACATTCTGTCAACTCCCCCACACACAAAAAAATATATCAATATACACTTTGTCTACTCCCCCAACACAAAAAAATGAGTAACTTTACAGTGTTACACCATGTCAATCCCTCCCCCTCCCGCCACACCAAACAAAAGTTGTTTTAATTTACAACCGGTCTACCTCTCCCCCCCCCCTCCTAAAGATGTTTCAATTTAGTTTACTACTCCCGCTTAAACATTTTTTAAAACCATTATAGTTCACAATAAATACAAAATACAAGTTACGTCAATATCAATACAATTCTATAGACAAAATATACTGATTAACACACATGAGAATACATCGGTTCATCTACAGAGGGCTTTACTCGCTCGACTATGCCGCCTTCTACACCGAAGAGCTACCTATACCTTACAACCTGTGTTGACAAAACACCTACAAGAACATACACACCACTAACCCGTTAAACCCATAATAAAGTAAAGATTCCTCTTTAGACGTAGGGATCCACCACGTCTTTCTTGACGTCAGTTGGTGTGGTTATCGCCCAGCCGCCTTTACTTTCTCCAACGTAAGTCAGGTAACCATCAGAGCTACGTGTAGTCATGGACGTTCTACAGGACTTAAGTCACAGAGATCCGAACTCGAGGCATTCGGGATATCAGCCAAGCGCTCAACCTTTTGACCACGCCTTCCCACAATGTTTATTAAGTGAAACATTATTTTATTCAATGTGCTGTTTTTGTTTTAATTTAGATTATCTAAGAAGGAACGGCGTGAATACAGCTTTGATAGGATTGAACGACCGCGCGATTCAAGGCGTCTTTCGATGGGACGAAATTCAAGAGGTTGCAACTTTTTTTTAAAAATTATTACCACGACGGAAAAACTAGTTTTATTTTTTTAATAATATTTTTACTGTTACTCCAATAACATATTAAAATACAGATTACGGACTAAACTTTCCGAAAGGGGGGGGGGGGGGCGGACACTAATAATAGTACATGTTGTCTATATACATTTCATTTCGTTCGAGGGGGGATCTGTAGACTTTCATCGTGTGTTTGGGGGGGGGTCTGTTTCCCTATTATGGTTAATTGTTTATCATGCAAAAAACAGTGCAAGTATGTCTTAGTTTGCTGAATGGTAGTCAAATACCAACAAAATATTGTACATGTGTTTTAAAGAGGAAAATAATGGGTTACCATTCAAAATCCTTGATAGTATCAGCACATGCGCATACAAGATTCTTTTTTCTAACCCCCACATCTAAGGTATTATTTTCTAAAAATAATTTTGTGTCGTTGCTTAACTCACCGCTTAATAAATGCTGGGTACACATTAAAACTACATGGACTCATGTTCAGTTTTTGGCGTGCAAGCTTGTGAGCGCGAATTCCCATTCTGCTTGTTTACTTTGTGTAATCAACTATAGAGAAAATTAATTAGCATACAATTACAAATACGTTTTTTTTTCTTATTTTTGTCAGGAGGTGACGTATTTTGGATGGGCAAAACCTTTCACACAAAACCCTGGACTGCGTAGTGTAGTTATAGAGAGCAACGGTTGGAGGGAACACAGTGGTCAGCAGGAGAGGTTTATTTGTCAAGTCGAAGCAGGTAAACAGTAATTAATTTAATTAAAACGTAATTTAACATGTGAGCAAATTGTGAGTGTTTTTAGAGTCAGGGGCGTCACTAGGTCGGGTGTCACTCATTTCGGTAGCCCAGTGTGTCACCCCCACTCAGACATATATTAAATTTATGAGACTAAAACCATAGGGAGCTTTTCATGTTAACACGTAATGAGTGTTCTTTGAAAAATTAAGTCTTGAGTTACCCACTGGTAGTACCCACTTCGTTAACCCTTGGCATCACCCACTTCGGTAGGCAGCGGTGTCACCAACTTCGGTAATGTCCAATAGGGCTTGTAAGTAGGTCACAACTTCTCGTTCTCTTACTATGCAGCTAGTAGATTTCGAGACCGTAGACTTACAAGCCCTATACCCCTTCTAAACATTTCTAATTATCTGCTTTATATTTATTTTTCTTAAAGTCTTACCCGAAGCCAAAATGACGTGTCCACCTGCGCAAATCGGTGACTTAGACCACAAAATTGCTTGCGTTGTCAACTTGCGGGACCCCTCTATATTGAAGAGTACATCTTTGACCAAAGATGGCGAGTTTGTGGCCCGCTGTGGGCCGTCAAGCTGCACATCCACCCTGCAGTATGATGCTGTGGTCAGGAGTGGGACCACAACAGTCACGATACCTAGCGTCATTCGAGACCATGAGGGCAACTGGACATGTGCCATTCAGTTTGCCGGGAGCAGTTATGTTGCGAGAGATTCGTGCATCTTGCAAGTATTAGGTGAGTTATGTGTAGTGATATCATGTATGTAGTGGGAAAGTATTGTGTAATGACATCTTGTAAGTACTGGGTGAGTTATGTGTAATGACATGTAATGGGTGAGTTATGTGTAATCACATGTACTGGATGAGTTATGTGTAATAACATGTACTGGGAGAGTTATGTGTAATGACATGCACTGGGTGAGTTATGTGTAATCACATGTAGGGGTCAGTTATGTGTAATGACATGTACTGGATGAATTATGTGTAGTGATATGTACTGGGTGAGTTATATGTAATGACATGTACTGGGTGAGTTATGTGTAATGACATGTACTGGGTGAGTTATGTGTAATGACATGTACTGGGTGAGTTATGTGTAATGACATGTACTGGGTGAGTTATGTGTAATGACATGGACTGAGTTAGTTATGTGTAATGACATGTACTGGGTGAGTTATGTGTCATGACATGTACTGGGTTAGTTATGTGTAATGACATGTACTGGGTGAGTTATGTGTAATGACATGGACTGGGTGAGTTATGTGTAATGACATGCACTGGATGAGTTATGTGTAATGACATCTTGCACGTACTGGATGAATTATGTGTATTGACATGTACTGGGTGAGTTATGTGTAATGACATGTACTGGGTGAGTTATGTGTAATGACATGTACTGGGTGAGTTATGTGTAATGACATGTACTGGGTGAGTTATGTGTAATGACATCTTGCACGTACTGGATGAATTATGTGTACTGACATGTACTGGGTGAGTTATGTGTACTGACATGTACTGTGTGAGTTATGTGTAATGACATGTACTGGGTGAGTTATGTGTAATGACATGTACTGGGTGAGTTATGTGTAAAGACATCTTGCACGTACTGGATGAATTATGTGTACTGACATGTACTGGGTGAGTTATGTGTAATGACATGTACTGGGTGAGTTATGTGTAATGACATGTACTGGGTGAGTTATGTGTAAAGACATCTTGCACGTACTGGATGAATTATGTGTACTGACATGTACTGGGTGAGTTATATGTAATGACATGTACTGGGTGAGTTATGTGTAATGACATGTACTGGGTGAGTTATGTGTAATGACATGTACTGGGTGAGTTATGTGTAATGACATGTACTGGGTGAGTTATGTGTAATGACATGGACTGAGTTAGTTATGTGTAATGACATGTACTGGGTGAGTTATGTGTCATGACATGTACTGGGTTAGTTATGTGTAATGACATGTACTGGGTGAGTTATGTGTAATGACATGGACTGGGTGAGTTATGTGTAATGACATGCACTGGATGAGTTATGTGTAATGACATCTTGCACGTACTGGATGAATTATGTGTATTGACATGTACTGGGTGAGTTATGTGTAATGACATGTACTGGGTGAGTTATGTGTAATGACATGTACTGGGTGAGTTATGTGTAATGACATCTTGCACGTACTGGATGAATTATGTGTACTGACATGTACTGGGTGAGTTATGTGTACTGACATGTACTGTGTGAGTTATGTGTAATGACATGTACTGGGTGAGTTATGTGTAATGACATGTACTGGGTGAGTTATGTGTAAAGACATCTTGCACGTACTGGATGAATTATGTGTACTGACATGTACTGGGTGAGTTATGTGTAATGACATGTACTGGGTGAGTTATGTGTAATGACATGTACTGGGTGAGTTATGTGTAAAGACATCTTGCACGTACTGGATGAATTATGTGTACTGAAATGTACTGGGTGAGTTATGTGTAATGACATGTACTGGGTGAGTTATGTGTAATGACATCTTGCACGTACTGGATGAATTATGTGTAATGACATGTAATGGGTGATTTATGTGTAATGACATCTACTGGGTGAGTTATGTGTAATGACATGTACTGGGTGAGTTATGTGTAATGACATGGACTGGGTTAGTTATGTGTAATGACAATTATTTGGTGAGTTATGTGTAATGACATGTACTGGGTGAGTTATGCGTAATGACATGTACTGGGTGAGTTATGTGTAATGACATGGACTTGGTGAGTTATGTGTAATGACATGTACTGGGTGAGTTATGCGTAATGACATGTACTGGGTGAGTTATGTGTAATGACATGGACTTGGTGAGTTATGTGTAATGACATTGACTTGGTGAGTTATGTGTATTGACATGTACTGGGTGAGTTATGTGTAATGACATGCACTGGGTGAGTTATGTGTAATGACATGTACTGGGTGAGTTATGTGTAATGACATGTACTGGGTGAGTTATGTGTAATGACATGTACTGGGTGAGTTATGTGTAATGACATGTACTGGGTGAGTTATGTGTAATGACATGTACTTTGTGAGTTATGTGTAATGACATGTACTGGGTGAGTTATGTGTAATGACATGTACTGGGTGAGTTATGTGTAATGACATCATGTAAGTTCTGGGTGAGTTATGTGTAATGACATGTACTGGGTGAGTTATATGTAATGACATTTACTGGGTTAGTTATGTGTAATGACAATTACTGGGTGAGTTATGTGTAATGACATGTACTGGGTGAGTTATGTGTAATGACATGTAATGGGTGAGTTATTTGTAATGACATCTTGCACGTACTGGATGAATTATGTGTAATGACAATTACTGGGTGAGTTATGTGTAATGACATGTACTGGGTGAGTTATGCGTAATGACATGTACTGGATGAGTTATGTGTAATGACATGGACTTGGTGAGTTATGTGTACTGGCATTGACTTGGTGAGTTATGTGTATTGACATGTACTGGGTGAGTTATGTGTAATGACATGCACTGGGTGAGTTATGTGTAATGACATGTACTGGGTGAGTTATGTGTAATAACATGTACTGGGTGAGTTATGTGTAATGACATGTACTGGGTTAGTTATGTGTAATAAAATGCACTGGGTGAGTTATGTGTAATGACATGTACTGGGTGAGTTATGTAATGACATCTTGCACGTACTGGATGAATTATGTGTACTGACATGTACTGGGTGAATTATGTGTAATGACATCTTGCACGTACTGGATGAGTTATGTGTAATGACATCTTGTAAGTACTGTGTGAGTTATGTGTAATGACATGTAATACAGTACCTAACAGTAATCTCAGCACTTCTAAATCATCAATTTACTTTAAAAAGTTTTAATATAATTAAACATGCGTTGCATATATATTTCTATATACAAATTTATACACACTGTTATAGCCTACACACAAGCATATATATATATATATATATATATATATATATATATATATATATATATATATATATATATATATATATATATTTTAAAGTGCCAGCAGACCCTCCTGTATGTAGCCACATGGTGTATAATACTTACATAGAGGTCACGTGTTTCACCGCTCAAGTCTATCCTGAAGCAACGTGCGAATGGTTGTATCAAATCAACTCACAATCTAAGGTACGGCTAATTTATTTCTTGCTAGCTACGCTGTTAAATAGTTTATCCGACGGTTTAGTAATATAACCCTCATCCACTGTCGTATCAAACCAACTCACTAGCAAAGGTACGGCTAATTTATTTCTTGCTAGCAACGCTGTTAAATAGTTTCCCACACTGTCGTAAAAGAGCATATCCTATCATAAACAGGTCTATATTTTCGTGATGGTTTTATTTATAAATACTAGCCAATATTATAAAGAATATAAACTACTTTTTATTGTTATATAAAGAAAATATAATAACATTTAAAGCTTCATTACAACACTAACAAAATAAAGATATTTCTTAAAGCTCCAATATGAATAATTGTATAAGGAATGGGCTGGTCGAGTGGTAGAGGTTAGGCCTCTGACATGGAGGTCTAAATAGTACAATTTATCAACGAATTTACTATAAGTACTAATTTTGGAATCATTAGAGCGTTTAAAAATTTTGAATGTTTAAAAATTATAAAGATCTACATCATTGATCAGGTCAAGTTGAGCAACTCTCAAACTAAAACAGATCACGAGAGTTTTATCGTGTATGGACACACCTACATAAGAACGGAATGTTCGGCCACCCTAAGACTGAGTTCCTTCCCTTCTGGCGCCTACACGTTCACGGTGACCATGACTCCTAGTTTCTCACCAGTGCCTAAGTCCCTGTCAGTGTCGAAAGACCATGTTGTAACATTAGGTAAGTATAGATGCCATCATGTACATGATTTAGTTTTGTATTGTTTTAACACTATTTTCATAAAGTCACAATAGATTAACAAAACATGCTAACTTATAATTTACGATCGTGTTTATTTTTTTTTTTACCTATAATAAAATAATGAGCATAAATTCTCTTTAATTAAATAAACTTTTCGTGTTTTATTTTTTTTTTAATCTATAGTAAAAATAATGATAAAAAATTCTGTTGTAAAATAAACTTTCAATAAGATTTGATAAATTAATGCCCAAAAAGTGTATTTTAATATAAATGATTTAGTGTAAAATCATTTATTGTGTTTAAAATATTTATGTTTTTGTTCTGCTAGGTAAGTTAGATACCACCAGTCCACGCCCTTTCGTAGTGTGAACACAATTTTCAAAAGGAAACAAATTAACAAATATTGCTAAGTTTTAATTTACAATCAAATCTTATACCAAATTTGATTAATGACTAGAAAGTGTATATACATATAAATGATTGACTGTAAAAACCATTGATTATGTTTTGAACACATTTTGTTTTGAGAAGCTTGAATCATTGTAATTACTTAAAACATTCAATTTCCGCTTTAAAATATTGTAATTTGTTTTTCTGTGTCTATAAAAGTATTCAATTCTAAAGCCAACTTTATTATGAATGGCTTACAACAAATTTTCCGTATGATGTGCAGATAACTCTAATATTTCAAGTCGGGTAACCCTACATTTTAATACAACATCAAGAGTGAATTGAATCGCATATTATTTGCCCCAGACCCTAAAAAGTAGATTATATTAAAATAATGGTGTAAAACTTTAACCAGCAGTTTAGTAAGACAAGACCATACACAGCGGATGTAGCGCATGACGCGCATGGTGTGAATGTTAACACAACATCCCGTTAGACGTCACTATTCTCAAGCACCCGTCGACAGCTGCAAAAATATTGTCCAGTCCACTCATCGATATCTTCTAATATATTTTCCCAAACACTCATCGCCGTCTTCTAATATATTTTACCATACATCCATCGACAGCTTTTAATACATTTTCCCATGCACTCAACATACAAGGAGTGGTTTTCGACATTGTTATACTTACATCTTAGAACATTTAAATAGTGTTAATCATAATTTAGGGATCGCCAATCTATTGCTCTAAGTAAAAGAATTTTTTGAACCGATTTATTATAAAGATGTTCTACGTATTTTAAGAAAAACGCTTAATTATAATTGTATTTAGTAACCGGGAAAATTATATTCTCTGACAAATTTTGGTCAAATTGGGTATTTAATTTTCCTTTATCGTATATTGGAATTTATATAGGGCTAAAACATTAACGCGGTGTAGATGAATATTATATGGTAACACCATCTTGAAATTAAAATATCACCACGTAATACAAAACACTGTTTAAGAAACAGCAAATGTAAAATGAACACGTTTTGGATGGTATAAATTAATTAAGACAGATCTAGGAAGTACGACATTTCGGGTTTGCATTACTGATAACTAATATTGAGGCTTAATATTTGGTTTTTGATACGATGCAAAAAAGGCCTTAAATCATAATAGTTTCTAGATATCATTTGCATAAAAATATAAACATTTAACTACAAAAAATCAATTGTAACAAAAACATAAAAACAGCGTCTCAATATTTTTACTTAAGGCGCATACACATGTTTTATAAGAGGGAGTAGATATATGTTTTAGTCTAGGACTCAAAACGTGTCTAGCGTGATTTAATTACCCTAATTAGAAAACCTAACACAATATATTAGGGAAAACTTTTAGCTATTTGTAAGAGCTTTGTCGATGCAAACCAACTTTTAAAAGTAAAACTTAAAAAACAGAAACTCAAATTTAGAACATAACGATAGATCAATAACAGAAACACGTACCATAATAATAAAACTAAGTCCAGTCTGCATAAGTGTAATGACTTATGTTTATAATTCCAGCACCCCCTCCAGACCCGCCTGTATTTACTGACACCACCGGTACCAACGTCACAGAACTGACCCTCAGAGAGGACCAATCCGTCAGCTTTACCTGCACCATACACGGCGGCACACCTGCCGTGTACAAGACGCACCTGACCTGTGATAATGCCGTTTGGGGGCCAACGGTGTCTGAGCTTGGCCCAAAGGTGGAGCTGGCCATTATGGCCAATCGTCGAGCGGATGGGAAAACGTGTCAGTGTAGAGGCGAGCATATTACGGGCTACAGCTTGACAAGTGTTATACGATTCACTGTTATATGTAAGCCAGTTTATATTATAATACCGTATAAAATACCATAATATGTAATACCATATATATATATATGAAAAGGCTTTCAAATAAAATCATGTCTCATATATATATATATATATATATATATATATATATATATATATATATATATATATATATATATATATATATATATGTATTTATATATATATATATATATATATATATGTATATATATATGTATATATATATATATATATATATATATATATATATATATATATATATATATATATATATATATATATATATATATATATATATATATATATATATATATATATGAGACATGATTTTATTTGAAAGCCTTTTCATATACACAGATCCATCTAGTGTCAGCTCATTTGGACTCTTCAACTGGTATGGACCAATATCATCTGAAGATGTTCAAGAGAATAGAGATGTATCCATACAGTGCAAGGTATCAGGAACAGCTGAGTCGAGAATTGAGCTGTACCATTCAAACTACATGGGTAATTTGAAACTGTTGCAAAACGTGAGTACCCAACTAGAATAATGTTTTCGATCTTGTGTATACTTAAAAAGCCGTTTCTACGTTTTAAATATTTTTAAAAATACCTAGAAAATATTTCAAGTGTTTAAAAATTCCATCATTCCATAATTGAAATGCTTAACTTCTTCTTCTTCGTTTTTAATTCTAGTGTTGTAAGGTATTCGCTCCAACACAATTAAGTATTACGTGTCAACTTGTTATGCGTCATATATAGATCGTTGACTCCGATTTCAGCCTACTTTTGTTTTTTGAATTCTTCCATAATTTATGTCCAATCAAAACAAACTACAAAGAGGAAGTTGGTTCATTTTGGCGTTTTTTCTCCAAGAAGATCTGCTGGCCCTACCTATCGAGCCTAATCTGCCCGGAGGTTCGAACTCGGGACTTTTTGGTTCAGTAATCATAGCAGAGGCGTAGCGACCCTTCCCGGCGCCCGGGGACAAACTTTCGATTTGCACGCCCCCCTCAAGATTTCGATTTTCACCCCCCTCAAACTTTCAATTTGCACCCCCCCCTCAACCTTTCAATTTATTTTTCCAACCCATTTTAGCGCCCCCTAAGGTCGGTGCCCGGGAACATATGTCCCCCCCCGCCCCCCCCCCCCCCCGCTACTGAATCATAGGCTAAACCTACCCGATTACGCTGACCACCACTGAATATTTAAAACTGCGTATGTTTTAACACATTGGGATGGTTCAGTAGAACACACGTCCACTAATTCGAAAGGTTCCGGGTTCAAGTCAATTAGACGTGTAAGTCTTGAGGCTTTGGATATGTAGCAGATATATGTTAAAAATAGAAGAGGCGGCTCAGCTGACCAACCAATCCCATCTTATCATATAGTCGTTGCAATAGGGCTGGTAAGTAGGTCAATAAACAGTTCTATGGCTCATGCAGGTTTTGTTGAGCCGTAGTACTGGTTGGTGACCTACTTACCAACCCTATAGATCAACTATAAACACACAGAGTACGAAGTAGAGATGTGATTTTGTAACAGTTCTATATCCAGAATTAGTGAAGAGGAATGGTAATGATGAATTAATTAATTGTATAGACCGCCAGGATTTTACAAAATGAGGCCTACTTCAGTTGTTTTTTATACACCTAATAATACAAAATTCTGATTGATTATTTTTCTGTTACGGAAAAAAAAATACCATGAATTTGATAGAATAAATTGCTTGTTTATTCAAATATGATGTAGGGCCTATATAGAGAACTTCACTTCTCGTCTATTCGACATGTTCAAATATTCTGTCTTTCCGTGTACGGATTAATATTAACTCCCCATGATTACACAGTTCAGTGGCGTCGAAAAGGCGAAGGCGAGGGGGGGGGGGGTGCGGACTGCAAAGGGTGACACCATTTTGGGAGGTGATGCCTAGAAAAAAAGGAAGATATAATAATTAAACGATTTTTTTTCAGTTGAATGGATGATTGATTAGATTTTACAAGTAGTTGAAGTACAAATGTATGACCCCGACAAAGCAGGAGGGGGAGGGGAATGACACTATAAAGTAAACATGCAATGTATAGATAAAACAATGTTACACCCAGCTGTATTAACAACCGACTAGAGATAAACATCATTAGTATTAAATGTGAACAGTTAAAAGCTTTTTACCGGAAGGGGGTAGATTGTGGGGGGGGGGGGGGGGGGGTGAAAACAAGTGAACGATGTATAGTAAAAAAAGGGGGTGACACCATGAGGTGTCGCATCTGGTGACACCCGACAAGCAACACCACTGTGTAAGGTTATTTTATCTGCATAACATTGTGCTGTAGGTGACAGGTCTGAACCTCGTCTACAACTTGAGAACCGCCTGCAACAGTTCGGGGCGGTACGTTTGTATCACCACCAGCATGTACAACTTTGAGAGTCATCAGATGTCTTTGGCATTAAAAGTCAAATGTAGGTATCATTACACTGGGTTATCTCTTTGGCACTAAAAGTCAAATGTAGGTATCAGAACACTGAGTTATCTCTTGGATCTCTCCGTCTCTCTATTAACAAATAAAATAATATATGCATATACAACTAATTCTTTTATTTTATATAAATATGTATATCTAGGTATATTATACATTATATATATATATATATATATATATATATATATATATATATATATATATAGATATATATCTTTATATATATATATATATATATATATATATATATATATATATATATATATATATATATATATATATATATATATATATATAAGGTATATAATATAAAGATATGTTTAGATATATAAAGATATAAATACATTAATTACTCTGCAGGTTCTCCCGAACACTGTAACGGAAACAATGGCGACCAAAAACCAACTTTTGGCGTAGCAGTCAATAAAGTGATAGACGTACGCCTGTGTTTTATAGCCAATCCAGAGCCTTTTAAGTTTCTGTTGTATAGAGGTAACTATGTAGTACGTTCATTCTGCAGTAGGCTTCCATACTTGGACTTAGTTGAAAGGTCAATTAAGTCTTAATACGTAAATATTATGACATGAAAAATTCAAAATTCAAAATTTCAAAACCCACCCAGTTGGAAGAATATGCCAGGTAGCGAAATGGTTTTAATTAATATCTTTCAAGTTTATTTTTTTTTATGTTTTATGACATTTTTATAAACTTCATAAAAAATACCCTTATCATTTACATATATCAATGAAATGTTTATAGCTCTTATATTATTTTAGCGCAACACATTTGCATTTTAGTTATACCGTATGTTGCTTCAAGCATACTGTTTAATAACAGACGAGGGGAGAGTTAGTTTTCCAAATGTTTTATACACATTTATTTCTATATTTAAATGAACCGGGAGTGATCTCCCCTAAACTTTCTCGAATATTCTTATATAAAACAACAGTGATGGGAACTCGGGCGACATGATTTTTAATCCATTTTAAATACTTAAAGTTTTAAAAATAGAATAAAATCTCGTAGACAAAAGAATTGCACATCAAGTGAACGCTAAATTAAAAAAGTGCATAATAGTGCGCAATAGTATTAGTACTTTTAAAATTTACATTAGTTTTTTGAGAAATCGGAAGTAGCGTTAATAACTACTTCCGGTCAATGGAAATTACTCAAAATTTAACAGAAGTAGAGAATTAGATCTTTTACTTACAAGTGAAATTTCATTTATCTATCCGAAATAGTACTCAAGTTATAGGCTTTTGAAAAATTCAAAGTAGAAAAAGTACCACTTCCGGTTATCGGAAATCGCTCAAAAGTTGATACGGATCTACGATTTTGATAAAATACTTATATATGAAATTTCATCAACCTAGCTGTAACGGTACTCAAGTTATCGTGATTACACACGGACAGACACACACACACACAGACATACGGAGAGAATTGCAAAGCCCACTGTTTCAGACTGGATTACGCATAAAACCTCTTAATTTTGATAAATCTGGATTGATAATTTTTGCCCGATTAAAATAAGTCCTCTATACTTCGGATGTGATGAAGGACTGAGGTGTAATACGGTGAAAATTGTTAAAATTTCAAGTGATTTTTGTGCACGATTACAATACTTTTTCTATACTTCGTATATACGAGAAAGTAAAAAAGCAAGAAACATTTAAAACATTCAACAACCTTTATAAGAAACTAATTTATGTAAGTTAGCGATTAACCCGTTAAATAATATAGCTCATTATCTACGGTATATTTCTATACTTAGAGACCATTCTATTTTAATTGAAACTTTCCACTTAATACGGCAACAAATACTTGATTCTAAAGAAATTTTTCAAGTATTGCACGAAGTAAATTAGTTTGTCATCAAGAGGAGTAAATTGTTATTGCATAAATCGTTGTAAACAGAACTAACTCGTTTCTTCATTTCATGAATATAAACATTGCAAATTACCCGAATGATTTCTCTACACACACATCTATTAAAACTGATTCCACAGGTATAAATTACTTCGAAACATCCAGGTACAATGTAACGATCAACTATACCCAAAACATCTGGTCTGTGGGTGAGGTCAAGGTCACGATCAACGGTCTAAAGTCGAACGAGACTGGAGAGTTTATTCTGTATGAATTGAACTCACAGAACAAACTGGGACCTAACCCGCTTAAGTTCCTGCTCAAACCACAAGGTAGGTTTAACAAACTGCTAACACGAATTTATCCACATCCGATTAATGGTATCCATAGATAGCCAGTGAATACCCGCAGATCCGTTCAGCGGTATCCGTAGAAAGTCCGTGAGTATACACAGATCCGTTCAACGGTATCCGTAGAAAGTCCGTGAGTACACTCAGCTCTAAAGGGTACCTTTAGACGGAGAGATAAATCCGGATTGTTATTACACTGTAATTTTATACTCTGTGGTCGGAAAATCTGGTTAACTCAACTCACGCGTTTTTTTTTTATTTCTCGCTTATAGTGGTTATATTTCTTTTAAAATTAACGTACACATACCGAAAGCAAAACTAGATTTAGTGTTGCCATTTGTAAGCATTGTCAGGTAATAATTTGTTATATTTTGTGTACAGCCTAGTAGAATGTACCTTGTCATGATTCTTAAAAGCGGAGAGACACAGTGCACCGATATATATATATATATATATATATATATATATATATATATATATATATATATATATATATATATATATATATATATATGACATTGTAGTATTAAAATGCTAATACATTTTTTTTAAAATGTACAGGTCCTCCACAATGCCCAAGTGATCTACAACTTGTAGTAAACAGCAGTGCAATTAACACCCTTTCCTGGAAGCCAGGCTTCAACGGTGGACTGACCCAGACCTTCATCCTACTCGCTCACCGACTGTCTGGCACCAACGACGATAACCCGGTGGAGGTGGGGCGTGAGGTGGAGGCGTCAGAGCCTGTCATGTACCACAACGTGACGGGTCTCTCCCCGGGGGTCTATCACGTGACCATCAGCGCCGTCAACAGCATGGGAGCGACAGAGTGCCCACGTGAATCTGTCAACATAACTATTGCTGGTGAGTAGTAAACGTCGTGGTCGTGCGGTAGAGCGCTGGATCGCTTAACCGAAATTCACGAAACTGCGATTGAAGAGATCGAATCCACAGAAGTGTCATGAGTCCACTCAGCTCTAATAAGTACCTGAACTCAATTTAGTGTTGAATACTCATATTCTTTGTGAAACTTATTCAGGTATTCAGAAAAAGGTCTGTTCTTCATTATAGACCGTCTGGTCATGAAGGGTACTTGAACTTCCCCGTTTATAAACCATAGGTTTTTATACTCTGTTCTATAATAATACAGACATTTTTTTTTGCTACAAAGCTAACAACCTTTAATACATGAGATCCTAAATTTAAAATCTATAATTTTAACAACTAACGGTATACATAACTTGCCAAATACAACAATCCTATAAATTAAAAAAAAAATTATTATAACACTTATCATGTTATAATCACACCAACAACCTAAAATAATCTCGTTAAGGTATTCATTAGTTATTTGAACATAATTTACTTCTGATTATATATATATATATATATATATATATATATATATATATATATATATATATTAATTTTTTAAATTCATGTGAATTTGATTAATTTTCTTTCTATCAAACGAATTTAGACCTAATAAGAATTTGACCAAAGGATTATATTCACTAGATGAAGCTGCGTCAGATGGCCAGGTCATGACAGCAAACGTCAGTGCGTACGTCATACCGGTCGTCGTTATTATCATCCTCGTCTTCATCGCTATCATCGTCGTAATCGTCTTGAGGAGAAGAAGAAAGAAAAGCTCAACTCCGGTTGCTAATAAAGGTAAATTGATTATAGTTTACGATTTATTTTTAGTTGTTATTTAAAATTTAAAAGTCACCTATAAGAAAATATATACAGAAAAATATTGGAAACATTTGTTTTGCTAAGTGTACAAGTTTTGAAGCGAGTGTTTGGGTAAAATCTAACAAATTACATGTGTATTACTTATATATTTCTGATATATGTATATATATATATATATATATATATATATATATATATATATATATATATATATATATATATATATATATATTTATATATTTATATATATATATATATATATATATATATATATATATATATATATATATATATATATGAACACATTCTTTAGTTTGATTGACATGTTAAAATTGTATGTAGTGAAATGTTGAAACCGCTAATGAAAAAACAAAGTAACCCAGGTACCCATTTGGGCTGGATTGGCTTGAAGATAATGACTGATTTTGTCCAGCTTCATCATTTAAA